AAACACATTTCTTACTGCACTCTGTCTATTCCCAAATTACACCGTACGCACACACTGATTATTCGCAATTTCCATTTTTCGACCAATCCCATTCACAAATGGCTTTGCTCATTTTTCCCATTTTATTGGTGCTTCTTATTTTAATGCATAAAATATTAAATTATCATCATTACGATTGTAGCAACACATTACTTTAGATAACTAAATTAAATCGATTTTATGGTGTGGTGTGCAATGCAAATGCTTGATGCGCTGGTTTCTATTAATGAATATTTGTTGTCGTGGTGTTGGTGTTGCTGATGCTCTGCTGCTCGAGCAAATCACCAGAGTCTAATATGTAAAAATCCAATTGGTATTTTAAAGCGCCACATTTTCTCGTTTGCGATTAACCATTTTGTACGAGTGAATTGATCAAGTACGCGAGCCCATTATACCGCGCATATACTGGTTTGTGTATGTTGGCGCGCCGCAATTTCGGGATGAATCTCTTTCAAACTGGTCGTTTAGTTAAATGAAATCAAGCAAACGACGTTGCATTAATTGTGCACAGATATCACTAGCAAATCATTTAATTATCAAGAAGCGAGCAAATGCGCTCACTGCATTGTTGCTGTTGATTGGACGCGCTTTTGCATCATTTACACACTCACTCGCTCTCTCTCTCTCTCTCTCTCTCTCTTTCTCTCTCTCTCTCTCTCTCTGCTCATTCCATCTGGCGCATAGATAATTTACTGTGTAATGTGAATTATGCACTGGTTTGCTTGCAGCTATTCGTGCACAACTCTTCCGAACGGACGAATCTTTTTGTGTGTATTTTTTTTGGTTTGTTTGTTTGGTGTAAATATTATTATTTTATAAAAGATGCAGCCTGTGCCACCGATTTACGCTGCATGCTTTTCGAACGAAGAAGAAGAAGAAGAAGAAGAAGAAACGCACCAACCGAATTGAAAGCCAACTCGATCAACAACAAAAAAAAAGCGAAAATAAAACAACAACAACGTCCAACCAAAGCAACGCATATGAAGTCAAATTGATGTGCAGAGAACCGAAACGAGCTCGAGCATGTGTTGTTGTTGTTGTTGTCAGCACACATGCATAATTTAGCTAAATTCAATTGGCTTAAATTCGATCATTATTACGTTAATATGCGAATGCCACACGCCTATTTTTCTATGAAATTATTCTCGTATTTCTCCCTCTCACTCTCACATGCTCACGCTCATTCGTTGGCTCTCTTCGGCTCTCGGTATACTCACACGTGAGCGGACGCGCGCGCGATCACCATACACACGCGCGCGCTCGTAAGCATACACCGTGATGGGAATACGCACACACACACACACACACGGTCACCTCTTGTTTGCTGTGCGCTCGCTTAAAACAATGCCAAACACCAGAACAAAACGAAAACAATGGAAAAACGCTTTGTAAAGCAAATGATCGGCGCGCGTAATTATTGCTTTCATTACGATGTGTGAACATTTGACGTCTATTTAACGAGCTTATAACCCCCTGCTTTTCATGCAAACGATAATTAACTCTCACCACACAAACTCTTCATAATAAATTGCGCTTCTATTGTTTGGTGTTTGTTTTTTCCACTATTATTTTTTCCAACTTTTGTTTTGAATTGATCGAATTTTTATGGAAAACGGTGGCGTCGGCGGCGATGACGGTGGTGATGGTGGTACTCATAATGCATGACAAAGATATACGAAACACCTCATAGATTATTTAGGATTGCATGCAGTCTGAGCAGTGTGCACTCAATCGAATAAACAATGAATATGCATCGCATGCGCAGTGCAGCAAAGGTGTTGATTTGGAAAATTGAGCAAATAATACCTACAATTACCGACCAAGGACTGTTCACACTTTATAATTCCATTATCAATTTCAGTAAATTGGCTGGATTTGGTTCTTAATTGAAATCAAGTCGTATTCAACAAACACATATTTTGATCGAGAAAGAACTTTGACGATTTTGTTGTGATTTTCTTTGCTTTATCACAATTAAAACAATTTTATTTGTTCAGTAGCATAAGCAAAAAACAAACAAGGCGCAGAACTATGAATAGAAAGACGTCGAATGACGCAAGTCAGTGAAATGTTTCGAGTCAGACGATGGTTGAGAACACAAATGAAACCAGAACGGTTGTATGTTATTCGTTATTATGGCACTTATACGACAGACTAACTCCTACTGTTGTCGAATGCAAAACTAATATATAAAAATCTCTAATCCAGTATCTGTCGAAGAAGTAATTTCGATAAATGACAATTGCAGCATTTTCAGTCTATAGAAAGAACAAAATAAGAGCGGAATGGTATGTCGATAGCCATTATAACCTCATGAATTTCGAAAAAAAATCAATATTGACATATTTAGCAAACAGTCCAAAAATGGATATTGTTTGTGATTTGGAATGCTATTCTAAAAAAAACGCGACGGTAAACATTATCCGCCCATGCACTCAAAAACCCTTTTAAGAGAAAAACTCTCGCCATAACTTGGAGAGAGCAAAAAAATAAATAATTAAATAAATAAAGAGACAAGTCGATTTCCATTTGAAAGTGGCGAACCAGTAAATGTAAAATGGATAAAAATGAGTGCATTTCCAAGTCCATTATTTTATTTGCATTGGAAGATTTGCGAAATGCATACGCGTTTATTGATTTATGAGTGAATGTGTTCGATTGAGATTGCCGTTCAAATTAGCATTGGTTATAATGATTTGGTTCTCTTTTTTTTGGTGTGCGCAAATGCTCGTGCGCAAGTATGGCACGAGATTGAAGCGAGACCAGTAAGAAGTGTGCATAATCATGAAACGAACGGCATTGAATGATATGCCAGCGGCTGCAAAGAAGAAGAAGCAACTAAAACACGGCATGCATCTCGCGCGAATTGTGCAAGCATGAGTGGCAGTGGTGGCGGCGGCGGCATCATCGGCTGCTACTCTTGCAGCAGAAAGAAATGGCCACCGTAAAAATGCAATGCACAGACAATCAATTGTCGCCCGAGGCGAAAACAGCCGTGTGTCTGTGTGCAAAAAATGATGAGTTTTGGTCAAGCCAAACCATTATGAAAAGCCACCACGCGAATTGATAGTGCGCTACTTGCAAATACACAGAGAGAGAGAGAGGAAAAAAGAAGCACACATCGTATGTATAAAGTAATCACATCACGAAATGTGCGTGTGCACATCAAGCGTCGTACGACACATAAAATAACATTGTACAATTGCACCCATAATTCGTCTTTCGCTCTCTCAATGCTTTGGTGGGTTCTGATCTTTTTTTCCGTTGTTGTTGTTGCTGTTGTCATTATTGCTGTTCGCGAGATAAAGATTTTCGCAATAGGCCTGTGAGCAACAAATTCTTCCTCCTCTTTTTATTTCATTTCGGCCGTTCTCTTCTCCCATTTGAATCGTGCACTGTGTATGGTCTTTTTTTATTCATCTGTTATCGGCGCTGTGCACCGTTTTGAATCGTGGCTTTGGGTTTAGTGCAACTTGATAGATTATAATGGAGTGCACAGGTTTGTTTTTTTCGAGTATGTGATGTGTGCTGTGGTGCGCAGAGCTGACCACAAAACAGTCACACTCCAATGCAAATGTCGAAAGTATCACTCAAGCCAGCCTGGTTATGGGCGATTCTTCAAATAGCCTAATATGCAAATTGGAATTGTTTCATTTTCGGTCCAACGTTTTTGCCACCTTCGTTTATTTTTCTTCTTTTTTTTTTGCTTGTGTGTTTTTTTCGGTTCGTTCTAAATCTTCATTTGCCCTAGAAAAAATTTCAATGTGAAAATTTTGAATCGAAAACATACTGTGCCACGTTTCAGAGTGCGATTATCGATGCAAGTAGCCGTTAATACGTTTTGATCAGTGGCCGATTTGTGCGTGTTTTTCTTCGGTCATGTTCATCATCATCTTGTGTGCTGTAACATGTTCAAGCGAACAGGTAAAACATACAGGCGAAACACGACAGAGAAAAAAAAACACTCACACAAAACGACGATGATGCACAGACGCAACAGAACGTCGTTCGTTTCGCTCATCATAAATAAATTTCCTGTTGTGAAATAATTAATTAAGTTAGAAAACGCAAAATGCCGCTCACACTGAAAATTAACCGTATTTTCACCGCCTCTTGGTCATCTTTTTTTCTACTCTCTCGAACACTGAAAAATAAGCACGAACGAGTGCTTTGCTAGGCTTTTTTTTACTCTCTCGCATCCATACTCCAAACATAATTAGTTATGCAGTTGGAATTGTCTAAAACCGTAATCACATGAGTGGCCGATGTATGCAAATCAACATGAGCATCTAATCAAGTGGACTGTGGTAAAAATTCAGACAATTTTTTTTCTCTCTCTCTCTCTCTCTCGCCTCTCTTCGCTGACGTCTAATTTATTCATTAACAGCAAAATATTATTTCATAGTGTAAGGGATTTCGATTGAGATTAAACAACACGGTGCGGAGGAAATCTTTATTTGAATAAAAAAAAAAGAGGAATGAAAAAGAAAAACATTGTTTGAATCACGCTCGATTCGGTGGTATTTTGTCCACAGTGCAAAAAGCGTACTGTGTACCAAATTAGAACTTAAATTGGCTGCTGTTTTCAATGCTGTGCATAAATGGCATGTTTACTTTTTTGTTGGGCTTAATGGCTAAATGAAAAGACGTTTTAGATGTTGGAGGGAAGAAGTCTCTTTCTCTCACTCACTCTTTGCTCTATCATTGGATTGCCCGAAGACGTGTGTTGGTATCAAATGCAATAGCCATACTCACCGTCTTGAGAATGTTAGATCGTCGTCGTCGTCGTCGTCGTCGTGCATCTTCATATTGAGTTGTTGGTTGAAAAAAAAAGATGTATTTTTATTATAGAAATATTGTTGCGCCCAGTTGGAAACATTTGCACGAGCGATCCACAAAGTATTGATCATTTTTACACGACACATCGAATCGAATTGAATCGAGCCGAGGCACATTGGTTTAACACCAACGTTTTGGAATATGTGCTCACAAACATCAAATGCGATAAAACATGTTAAATCGTCAACGCAGCAGTTAATTTACCATACCGTTTTGTGTTGCCAACATCGTTCATCTCTCATCATCATTCGCCACCAATCTTCCTCTCTCAGTGCTTGCCGTTCAACATGCGCTTCAGGATTAATTTATTTAATTTTTACCTCTTTTTATCTCCCTCTCCTTCTTTAAAGTGTCGCTCTCGCTCTCGCTGTCTCAACATCGCATACATTTTTTTTCTGCTTAGTTCCGTGCTCAGTTTTTATGTGCACGCACGATCTGGAAGCCATGAGATTCGGAGTGGAATTCGATTTTATGACAAACTAATTGGATTCGGGTGATCCTATCGAAATGAAAAAAAAGAGACTACAACGTATGCTACAGAAGGATTCCATGTCGTGCATTAAGATGACAACTGCATTTAACGCAATTTTGCTTCGGGAGAAAATTAACACGAGCCCACAAACACTCAACAACTGCTCATATTTGCATCGACATTTTCATTATTTTGTTGTTGCTGCGCGCTTTTTTTTTCAATTGAAAGGTGAATAAATCAAATTTTATGCTGAATTAATTACTATGGAATTTGTTCGTACTGTGTGAACCAGAGATATATATATATTTATGCACAGTGTACACACGCCTCGATACAGCTTCACCAGTCCAACAGAAACAGGTTAATATATTGTCATAATCTACAATGCACATGATTTATGATTCTGTTGTTTTCACAACTCCAAATGCTCTTTCACGCAATTACCATTCATTTCACCAATTTTTTTTTCTTCTGGCTTATTTCATTATGGTTTTTTTCTTTATTTCGGCATTTCTTTTTTCTGTATTCGTTATGGTTCAAATGAATGATTTTTTTGACTTTTTGAATTATTTCGCTGGTGCAATGGGGATTTATCGTTTAACTATTGGGCACTAAATGCCAACGGGAAACGTTCTCGTGCTTTGGCCTTATTCGTTTTTTGTATAATCATTTCACGGTTTGCCTCTTGGATTGCCTCCCATAGTTTTGCCTGTGACATGATCTGACGCATTAAATCCTCGACAGCCGGCTCGGAATTTAAATCCAACAAATCACCCAATCGATCGTTGTTTGCCGAATTTAACTGTTGTTGTAATGCCGCTTGCTCATCATCACCACCGCCACCACCATCGAGCTGCTGATTTCCATCCACAGCTTGCTGAGCCACACTTTCAACGCGTTTGTCATAGGCAGCTGGTTTTTTGTTGTTATGGGGGTAATAATTGCATTTTAATCCATTGGAATTTGTTGATAAAGTGATATTTTGAATAAAAAGCAAAATAAGCATCGAATTGAAAGGAAAAAATATCAAAACATAGGCAAATTTAGCAATGGTTTTAAAATCCAAATTGTATTGGTTTCACATGTCAATCAATTGCAACAAAATTTGCGTTTTTTTTTCTGTTCAAATTTGAATTTAATTCAAACTCACCACGTAATGAATTCATGAGCATACATTTTCTGGAGTCATCCGGCTGGCAATCCTAAATCCGAAAACAAATACCAAAATGATAAAATTAAGCCGCCAAAAGCTGGAATTGTCATTTTCATTCAAAATTGATATTAAAATCTCTATTTGATGGTAAATCTATTCTGTTCGAAAACGAACTACAAATAAAACAATTTACGATTGAATGTTTTCAATAAATTTTTCAATTTGAGTTTTGAATGCGAAAAATGCCATTTCCAGTTTTCGAGAAAAAACGCCCGTTGTGTGTGTGAGAAAGAAAAAACTCGAGACGAGTTGTGGTAACGCAAAAAAAAGTATCGTAATCACTTGATCAAAGGCAGCCACTTTCCACACTTGATAGCTGAGGAAGAACACCAATAAAAAGTTGAATAGATTCCACCAAGAAAACATGATGCAAGTTTTTGCTGTACAAACTATTAGAAAAAGTTCACGATTTCAAGTGAGTTTTTTTTACGCTTCAAGTTCGGTTTTTTTCTCTTCTTTTTTCACAAATCCAACAACTGTCCATCCGTCATCGGTCAACTCTACTACCAAACTGGCTGTTTGCGTTGCATGTCAAAATGTGAAACTGAGTGAGATTTATGTGGAAGGTTCGTTTTTATATGACAATAAAATGGATGCAAGGATATTGGTAATCGAATGGTGTTGAGTCATTGGATAAAAAATGAAATACGCCGTTCATAAATATGCGAAAAGAAAGAAAAAATAGAAGAAGAAAACGATTCAGTCATTGAGTTCTAAATGGTAAATGGTTGTTCAATAGTAGTACATATACAGGGGTTGGATTCGTCATCAACCACCCGTGCAGTTACTTAAGTGCAGTACCGTGTGTTTTTAACCCATCATTGTTTCAAGTGTGAGTGCAGAAAATTCATGTCTCAATGCAGCGCCGCATACGCGTCTGCACTAAATATGAAACACTTACAGAGAAAATGACGAAAAAAAAGTCTGTTTCATTACAAAAACAAGCAAATCAGATGAGAGAGAGAGAGGAAGAAAGGATTGTTGATTGTTGACCCTTGAAGTGCATTTTCGCTCCAATTCCATTTCACAGCAGCAGCTACAACAACAACCAATTATGCCAGCTGAAATTGTGTGTTGTGTTTAGTCGTTGCATTTTATGGAATGAATCGGAAGAGGAACACGGATAATGAAAGCCTCCTACCAAACCAAATTCGTACACGGCATTATTAATTTAAGTGTGAGAGATAGAGAAAGCGGGAAAGAGCCACAACAAAAAACACGACGATGAACATTTCAAATGGATCGATCGAAAAGGATTTCATACCGTTGATTGAAGCAAATGCTTGAAACACGTTGTTCTCTCTCTCTCTCTTATAAAATCGTACACCAAGAGGTTGGGCACAGAAATCGAAGTGATGATAAAACAGAGGTTTTCACTTTTTCTTTTGCTCATTCGTTTCGTTTCGCATTTATTGCCACTGCTGATAACAACCGAACGGAAAAAAAGCGCGAGCGGTGCATTCACTCGTTCCACCTTCTTTCTTTCATAAATTGAACTCATTCAAAACGACGGAATAACGAGAGAAAAAAAAATTCGAACGCACAACGGGCGTTATTTCTTGTGATTAAATTGCAAGCCGCACAAACAAAAAACAAAGTCAAACATATGCAACTTTTTCAGAAATTAAATCGAAAACAAGAATTATTCATATGATTTTATCCAATGAATGTTTGACGCATTTTTCTTTTCGTTCGATGGGATTGATTTGAATGGGACAAAATGCGATGGACTGAATTCCTATGTTTGAATTGATTTCATCATTTTGCTTTAACAAGCCGATTCAGAATAGGTGCTAGACGAAGACATCCTATCGGACGTCAAAATATATTTTGGCCTGTTCTCTTCGTAATGCAATTTGATTGAATAAAAACAAAATTGTTCTGTTATTTTCATCAACAATTTTTTTTTTTATTAACAAATGACATTTTCTGTCTCAAAATTCAGTTTGCTGTGGCAATAAAAATCCATCGAATACTTATTAATGATACATCGTTTCCAGTGTGGTTGTTCGCCATATGATTCATTTAAAATCGAACGAATTGAGTGTTTTTCATTGCTTGCCTTAGTTTGATCGCTCAGCCGGAATTCACGCGCACAAAATCTAGGCGCCCATAAATCCTCATTCATTATCTCATCATAAATTTGTTTACTGCAAGTTGATATCTTGAAACAGACGTGTGGATCCGTAATATTTGAGCTTTTCAGTTGCTCGACCTCAAACAGATCGAGGGTAGCTTTTGTGTGCTCCGTAATATGTTCGGTGATGTCTGTGGATGTAACCGTATTCTCACACTTCGAAATGTGAATTTCATACACTGAACGATTATTAGGCGATTTGTTGGCTGCTGGTTTCGATCCCCTTTCATTTTCAGCCATTGTGACATTCGGTTGATTGTCATTGGTCACTACGTGATGATGGTCATTCTTTATTTTCGGTGGGCTTACAATTGTATTGATTTGATTGTGGTGTGCATGTTGATTATTTTCCGGCATAATTCCATTTGGTTTCTTACGTTTTGACTTTTGTCCACAGTCTTCATCGAAATTATACATACTTTGTGCATTTGCTACGAATGCAAATGATTGTGGTTCACTGTATTCATTATCCGATGGCCGCATAAGTTGAACAAATACCTTACGCGCTCCTTCGATATTCAGATCACGGTACTTTGGCGTTCTTAATGTAATCGCCAACTGATAATGAAGCTTCATAAATTCGGACGTTTTATGGTTGATTTCTTCTTTCCAAATGACTTTTCCATCGGCATCTTTCTCATAGAATAACACCGATATATCCTCGAGCTTCACTTTGCTACACAGTATTATCATTTTTTCACCACCAGAAGCGGATGATCTGGTTGAGCTCATTTCGACGATTTTTAACGAACCAGTGTACCTTTTATCCATAATTGGGTCTGAAAGCACATAACCGATTGGTACAACATTGTCTTCATCGGTGTCAGCTCCATTGTAAAGAAACGCTTCGAAACACAAGCGCACACAGTGTAATTCAAAGAGATGCGGTCTCTCAATGTAATCCCAGCCACCTAATGAAACGTTAAAAAATGAAGAATTTGTTCTGAATTTGCATTTAAAAAAAAAGAAGAATTTTTTGAGCATTATTTAAACCCTGTATGTTTGTTAGGGAAATTTTTTTTTTTAAGTTTCTCACCTCCCGTTGGATCGATATTCGCATTCATTCGAAGCATCAACGACTCTTGAATACGACATTTTTTGACAAACACAACTCCGACATCTCTAATTTTGATCGTTTCCTTCTGTGTGACGTTATATTTTAGCAATACTTCTCCACTTAGTTTATTTTTCATTTTTATTGACAACTTGTGCGGATGCTGCCTGAAATGATTGAATTTAAAGGTAGAAATTGTTAAAAACATTTGTCAAAAATAAAGGAAATATGAATCGAACGTACTTCGGTGTGCCGTTATCACTGTTCGTAACGCAAGTTATGCGTATACCAATCTTTCCGGTGACATTGCCAAGTTCAATGGTTGGATAGGTTTGTTTGTCTTTGGTTGAATTTACACCAAAAATTGAGCCACTGTTTCGACCTTCGCTTTCATAACGAAAGCGGTACGATTTCCCAGTTGGTTGTTCGACGATTTTCAAGTAAGGTGCATTGGTGGCCATTGTTGGAACAATAACATGTATCTTCACTTATTTGATTTGAATAAAAATCACAATGAATTGATTATTCTTCTCTTTTGTCTTGGCACTTACTTCTTGTGTGTCTTATAGTATAGATTTTCTCAGCAATCTCGTTGTGATCTCCTGAAGCTTTTCAAATCAACTAACGATGTTAATCGAATAGCAGAGGTATATATGCAAAACATTTTTGTTGTCCTCCGAAATACAAATGCAATTTGCTACCTACCGTTGCCGAAATGTTTTAATTTTTGGGTTTTTACCCAAAAACATTGCGGCAGTTTAGCAGTAATGGACGACGCTTTTCGAAGGATTAAACAATAGATTTTCTCGGCTCTTATCATCTTCACTTTCTTGCAATTCGTATCACAGGTGCACAATCCGTTCAAGTGGTACCAATTTAATACTTTAAATCTCCCCATAAAAAGATCGCTAATAAAAGCATTGAAAAATCTACTGTTTTGCTACCGACGAAATGGTTCTAAGAAAATGACATGATCACATCGTTAGCCATAACTTTTTCATACACATCTTGTCCTTCTAAATATATTTGCGTTTTTTTTTCTCTACGATGTTTGATTTTTGAATCCTTATCGAACATTCAAGCTTTTTATAGGAAAAAATAGAATTCAAATCAATTTCAATGGAATAATTCAATGAGCCAGTTAAAGTCAATACTTTCAATGCTCACGATTATGATCTTTCGTGATCTTTTCCACGTAGATTATATAAGTACCGTAACTAAAAACAGCGGTTTGGTTTTACACATATTGTAATTTTCAATCTCCTTTTATTCTTATGGTTTATGAGTAATTTTTCCTTTCTTTGTTGAAATCTTTCCTCCGATACCAAAATCTAACTTAGGTATATCATTTAGCATGCTAAAGATGCATGTGATTCTGTTGCATTTCATCCGAACAATGTCTGCAACTAGCACGATGGTGTTCAGGTAAAATACGCCTCATTGTCATTATAATCATCTCACCCGCTTTGGAACTTTGAATTCTTTCACTTGTTGAGCCGTTCTTCAAGTGACTATTTTTAATACCATAAATTAACAACAACAAAAAACTGCAATATTGACTTCTTTTATATTCACTTTTATTGGTTTCAGTCAAAAACTATGTGTTAACGTCCACATCATTGGCATCATTAATCGTCAAATGGCAATTCATTTTTCGAAAAATCTCAAATTCCGGAAAGAAATTCGCAACAAGTCTTTTCTATAAACAATCGATTGGAAATGCAAGCTTACCGAGGACATCCCCTTTTGACTGGTCTTAGATAACGCTATTTTATTTACGTAAACTAACAACTTTTTTTTTCTCGATATTTCAGTTAATCCTGTTTATTTAATGAATGGTATCTTTTGGCTCATATTCTGTTTGATATGACATTAGAATATGTTATATATAATGATACCGAAGTACATCCATTGGGTATTTGTTAATTCGTTAATTTGAGATGTGAAAACAAATCGAAATAATAATATTGTTGGATGAAAATGTTCTATGGAATAAATCGAAGCTACACATTTCAACCGGTTTCTTTCTCATTTATTGCTAATTTGATATGTTTTTTTTATCATGTCGAAATCTTTGGCATTATAGTTTAATGCTATCAAAACTCATTCCAATGCCATCGATGTCGCTCACATTACTGTCTTCGTTCAAACACAATTTGATCAGCTCGGATGTATCTGTGCCATGTACCAAATCGGAATAATTTGTATCTTTTTCTTCGGCATTATCGTTTATTGTGGGGGCATTGGTGGCAAAATTTTCGACGGTTTTATTAGAATCCATGCTATTATCATTGTTGTAGGTGAATGGTATGCAATTTATGGCCGAATTTGTGGAATGGTTTTCAATTGGATTCATCACTCGATTCATGTATCCGTCGTGCTGTTGGCCATTTGATTGAGACGGCTGTTGAGACATAGTTGGTTGTAATATCGGCTGTGGATTGCATGATGCTTGTGCAATCGATGGCTCACCAAAAAAGCCATTGGCATTCTGATGCTGGGCATATGGCGTATAATAGTACGATGGATAGTTTGAATTGGAGTATGTGCCACATGGAAAATTGTATTGTACATCATATGAGTTTGTGTTGGTCATTTGGTGTTGATAGTGCGGTTGAATCGATGTTTGGTACCCATTTTGTGCTTGATTGTTCATGTGACCATTCTCTTTGTCGTCTTCACCTGAAAATGGTAGAATGAAAATATTAAAATTTCGGTATAAACATTTTTTTTTCTTTCAGAGAAATTTGTTTCAGATTATGAACAAAAGTTAAATTTGATTGAATTTGGCAATCTTACCCAAATTGATAAGTTTCGGTGGATTTAATGGTCGTTCCATCGAGTTAGTCCTATTCGCTTTGGGCAAAATATTTTCGTCCAGAATGTTTGGTATAAATTTTGGCTTTTCCGCTTTTTTCAATGGTACTCCCCTCGAACTCAGTGATTTTTTCACAGATTCATTTACTTTTGTTTGCTTTTTGCGCTGTAATTGAATACCTTTCAATGGAAAAAGAGCAAGAACAAAGAAATATCGTTAGAATAAGAAGAATTCGACATTCAACGAAGATAAGATACTGAACTGATACATACTATGTGCATTGGGTAGGTATGTAAACGGGATTGGTTCGCTGACTTCACTATCCGATGGTCGAATCAGCTGAACAAACACTTTGCGTGGCTCTTGAATGTCGTGCTCATTGTAGCTTGGTGTTCGAAGTGCAATTCCATATTGATGGTGAACCCGCAATGATTCGGAGTTTTTGTAGTTAATCTCTTCTTTCCAGATGATTTGCCGATCGGCATTTTCTTCATAGAATAAAACGGAGATATCTTCACGTTTTACTTTGTCGCAGAAGATAAATATCCTTTCACCACCCGATACGGACGATGTTTGATTCATTTCTATGATTTTCAATGAACCATTGGATTTTTTATCCATAATTGGATCTGAAAGGACATACCCGATCGGTATACAGCTGACTTGCTCCGTTGCATTTCCGTTACTAGTGTAAAGAAAGGCTTCGAAACACATGCGCACACAGTGTAAATCGAAGAGATGCGGTCTTTCAATGTAATCCCAACCACCTAATAAAACGTCGAAGAATGAAGAATTTGTTTTAAATTTGCATTTGAAAAAATGAATTATTCGACAAATCTTTTGAAAGTAATTCTAAAAAAAAATTCCAGTCAAAATTAAAAATAGGTGATCTTATTGCAAACTGAATCCTGTACGAGCCTCTGAAGGTCACGATTCTCTTTTTCGTGCAATGGTTTCAAACAGAACTTTCATAAGGATATGATTTTAGTCTCAGCGTTTCAGTTTTCTCTATGATACAATTCTTTGAAACCAAACACTGGCCGCAACCGCATCCAAAGGCTTTTAAGATAAATTACATAAACGGTTCTCACCTTTCGTTGGATCGATATTCATACTCTTCCGTTGTTTTAATGAGTCATGAATACGTTGCTTTTTAACAAACACAATTCCGACGTCCTTAACTTCAATCTTTTTCCTTTGCGTGACATTGTGTTTCAGTAAAACTGCTCCGCTTTCTAACACTTCTTTCGTTGTTAACTTGTGTGGGTGCTGCCTGAAATGATTGAATTTGAAGGTAGAAATTGTTAATGACATTTGTCAAAAATAAATATGGATTTTCTCAAGGAAATATAAATCGAACGTACTTCGGTGTGCCATTATCATTGTTCGTAACGCAAGTTATGCGTATACCAATCTTTCCGGTGACATTACCAACTTCGATGGTTGGATAGGTTTGTTTGTCTTTGGTTGAATTTACACCAAAAATTGAGCCACTGTGCCGACCTTCGCTCTCATAACGAAAGCGACACGATTTCCCAGCTGGTTGTTCGATAATTTTTAAGTAAGGTGCGTTGGTGGCCATCGTTGGAACAATAACTTGTATCTTCACTAACTTGATCTGAATAAAGATCGCAATGAATTGATGATTCTCCTTTTTTAAAATTGACAATTATTTTCTTTTCAGTTTGGCACTAGATTTGTTCAACTTGGCAATTGTGTGTTGTGATCGCATGGAGCTCTCAAAATCATCTAATGGTAAAATTCAAATATAGTCAAGGTATATAATATATCCTATATATGCAAAATTAAGGTGTTAACAAATGTTTCCCCTAATTTGTCACCTATGTACAGGTACCCATTATATTTTCTTGTTATCAAAATTGTACTCAAAAAATATCTATAAGTCGACCATGCACCTGTATGACGGCAGCACCACACAATTCCCGAAAGATAATCATCATATTTTCGGATTAAAAATATGAAAGTTATTAATTTTCTTGGAAGTGTAAATCTTGATAGATAATTCAATTCTAATCTCAAGCGTAGAATCAGTTCAAGTGGTATCAGTTTAACGCCTTATAATCTGAATAAATCCCCAGAAAAGGACCGTTTACGAAGTTCGTATAAAACCTAAGAAAAATCTCCCATTTTAATACCGACGAAATGGTTTCGGAATTGGTTTTATTGATAATCGCCAATCTTTATGCATTTTTTACTTGGTCTCTGAATTACATACAAAGCAAAAGTGCATTATACAGTTCGACTGCAAACAGATCGGTGTCTGTCACGAGAACATGAATAAAAAGAATAATATTGTAATATGCGAAGAAGAATAAAGTGAAACAAATGTTCGGTGTGCGTGCCTGATTTTTTTCTCTTCTTGTTGTGGCGATCGTTGTTATTCTGGTGCGTTAGCCAATTTATGCATTTAATTTTACATTTGTACTATTGCCACGCAGCAAACAGGTCGATGTCTTGTTTTCGTCTAAGCCAAACATGCATTTCCACTTATATTGGCTTATGTTCTCGTTTACTTATTCACTTGTTCCTTTTCGATCGTTCGCAGGCTGGCTGGCTGGCTCGAATGCGTTGCTCATATAAACACGACGGCAACGATGATGATGCGAAACGCAACCAAAACAATATACGCTAAAATTAGCCAACAAGCAAGGAATTTGCAGATAAAGAGCCAAATATGTAATAATTGTGGCAAGTAAATACGGAAAATAAATTAACAATGTGCCAGGGACAAAGGAGAAATCAAATCATTCGTCACGATGCTATATTCTCGGCTGTTTCTCTTCACTTCCATTTCGTATCGCTGTTTCCTTCGTTCCGTCCGTTTCTCTCGCTCTCACACGCTGTACAATGCGCTTCATCGACATGCGCTTTTTATGCATTCATTGGCCATTGTGCACCGATACACCAACGCTTCCACATTTTAAAATTCGCTTTTACTGCAACTTATTATTAAAACATAAATTGTTTTTGCCCCTTTTTTTCGTTTTCACTCACTCGGACTGAGAAGGAACTTGGACGAAGAATGCGCATCTTGTTGCGCATTTGCAACTCTTCCTCTTTTGGTTGCATCAAAACACATGCACACATATTGATATATTCTTCGTTTTTTTCACTTTAAAATTGCATTCGATATGCGTGCGCGTTTATCTGTTGCTTCTTTTGGCTTTCCGGAATTTAGCCTTGGGCCAAATGTATTTCCGATTGACGTAGAGATCTGGGAGCGCACAAATGATGCGCTGATGAATTTATGCATGAAGACGTGTACTATATTTGGATGCCTGATTCTAAAATCAGATACACACACCATTTTACATGTTGCACCATGCGAATCTGCAATCGTGATTTAAGCGCTATAAACGTTCCGTTCTTGTGGTTTTTCATCGCCAAACAGTATTCACATCGTAATTTTCATACCTTTAGTTGCATTTTTGATGAGTTGAGCTGATATTTTGAACGAGTAAATATAGAAAATTCAATTCTTGCGATGAAAAACTCGGTTTTCTTAAAATCTTCTTATTGTTTATCAGTTTCAATTTTGAGGTTTATGGATTCTGTTTAATTAGTTTCAACCGCGCCTCTTGAATTTAGCGCTTTCTCATTCTTGTTTTTCCAAAATTTAACTAATTTAAGTGATATACACTGTGGTCTGCCGTTCCATACAATTCATTTCAATATCCGGAAAACTTTTACTCTTTATGCAAACCAGTTGAAGTGTTGCTCAAAAGCTTTATGCGCTCTATCAGTGGCGATCTACCGATGGAGACGCCCATATCTTCTTTGTGGTGAATAATGCACTTGCAATATGATTTCAACTTACGTGCACATTGCTTACACACAGAATGCCTAACGCGATGCTTATTATTGGAAATACATTCAACATTTATTATTCAAATAGAGCACAAAATATGGAAATATCGACACAAAAATCGCATAAGGCAATATTTTGTTCAGTCAATTTGTTTGCTCGAACAAACTGTTCAATTTTCCTACAATGCAATAGATGATTGTACTTGATGCACGCAATTTGATAATTTCATGATGATAAGAATAAGAATGAATTGCGTCAAAAAATGCGTTGAATTGAATGCATATTTGCATGAATTGAAAACATTGACTTTGCGACGGACGAGTTGTTTCAATTCAAACCAATTTTTTTTTTTAATTTCTTGGCAATTAAGTTCATGTTCATTGCAATTCGAAAAGAAGGTTTTTCATCATTTCTTTTTGGACCAGTCTTTAAAATTCTTTAGAAAAAAAATTTGATTTTCAGATGGGAAATATCGATTCAAAGCCAAAAAATGGATACATACCACTTGCTAACTCCAATGGAATTAATAACATTTTTCATATCGTTCAAAGATGATTTCTGTAATTCAGCATCTGAATCAGACGTTTAGACTACTGGCGTTTATTATATCTCCTCGATTTGTTTTATTGGAACTGAAAGAAACAATTCCACAATGAATCCAGTTCACGCAAGCCGATCACAGAATTTATGTTTGAGAGCGTCTCACAAATTGCATGGAAATGAATGAATATACCTTTGCTGCTGTACATTTTTTCTTCAATATCAATGATTCGATCAGAATCCAAGCGCCAAATGATCAAGAAAACTTCACTCGAAATTTTCTATTCGATAATAAGTTGAATTTTATTTATATCATTTGATTTTGATATTTTCAGCAAAGAATGAGTTATACATGGATTTATCTTATTTTCTAAGATGATTATTTTTTTGAAAAAATTCTTGAAATATTTCACTAAATTATGATTTAAACCGCTGGTAATTTGGTTTTGTTGGTGTGTTTTCGTTTCTATCATTTCAAAATGTACGGAATTTTGTTGGTTTTAAATTGATAATTGACTTATTTTTCCTGCTGAGAATTGATATAAGATTTTCTTAAGTAACTAACAAAAAATCTTCGGTAATATGGGAGATGTTTGAATCTATGGTAATTCAAAAGGAATGATTTTATCAAAGGCTGCGCTAGCACAGAGATATTTCGAAAATCAAAGAAATTCGATTTTTTTTTCTTTATATTCGAAGAACAAAATAAAATTTGAAAAATGATGATAAACTCTAAAGGAGTTTAAACATGAGTTAGCTAGAGCAAAATCATCGAATCGACTAATCTGCATTTTCCTCATTAAGCTAATTTCTTGATGAAATATTTACGCTGACCGTCGCTGCCGCTATTCATCTGAAGCTCGTACGATGCGTCGTTCTCGACGGCTTCTTCGACCATTTTCAGTTCTTGGGCAGTGTATCCGACGAGTGGTGCACTTGTACCGATGTCAAGTTTCGCGAATGAATCCATGATTCCATTCACACTGCCGTGATCGCCTTTACCTTGTGCCTTGTTCACTTGTGGCTGTGGTTTCAACTGGAATGCACGTTGCAAAAAGCCCTTCATCTCGTTTTTGTACTTGTCACGCGCCTTTTGAATGTCATTGAGTGTGCTGTTCACGCTTTCATTGTGTGGATCAAGCTGTTGTGCCCTACGCAGCAAAACAATCGATCGGTTGTAATCATCATCTACTTTACTGCGTGCGATCGCTTCGTTCACCAGAACATTGACATTCCTATCAACATCCGAAATTTGACGCAGACGTGTCACATTTTCAAAGGCTTCTTTGTAGTTTTCGATTTTGATGTAATAATCGATGAGTTTCTCGTATACATCGGCGAAAATCTGATTCTTTTCCTTGAGCTCGTCACCATTTTCAATGTCACAAAATTGCAGGCGCTGTAAGATCTGCAAATTCACCCGAATGGCACGTTCAAATTCTCGTTTGCGGCACAAATCGCTAACTTTCTTTTGCATTTCCATCACTTTCTCTTTGACCAATCCAAATTTCCGCAGCTCATCACCGCTCAATTCATCGCAAGCATTTTCGGAGCCAATCTCACGGAAATTCACCAATTTTGCCACCAATAAAATGTCTGCTTTCGGCTTGATTTTAACATTGCCGGCGTCGTGGCCGAACTCACCAAACATCAATGTGTAGCTGATGATGAAATGCGATTCTTCACCTTTGCACATCGTTTCAAGGGCATACCAAATTCCGGGAAACAATTCGTCATACAAATTGGTTTTGACGCCGCAACTTGAATCGTACGAATTCTCCTCTCTCTCCATGAACATACTGTACGACCATTGAATGCGGCATTTTCGTCGGCCCATCGCATCGCCGTTTCCTTCGAAGATTGTGCGCTTGTAAATGTTGTACTCCGGAATTTTCACCATTGTCGTTTTCAGCTCGTCGAAACTTTCCAGCCATGGTGTTGCTTTTGGCTTTGCCTCCTCGTTCATATCATCGTCTTCAATCAAATTATCGTCGACATTGTTGACCAATTGATTTCGATCCAATGTGAACATTATCGGTTTCTCCAATAATGAACTGTCAATCTTGATTGGATTTTCCAATTTTATCGCGTCGTTCATATCCATGGCGAGGTTTTTCTATCACAAAACTCGCAAATGTAATGAAATGTACGTTAAAAAAAACTCTTTCGGCTTCTTGATACAGAACGCTTATTATTAACACACAAAATTGTGTCGTTGATCACACTGGCTACTCACACACTGAATCAGTCACGATGCGTTTCCAATGGGAATGAGAATGAGCGAATGCATAATCAGATTGTGATTTGATGTGTGTAGCAGTTTTGACAGTTGCTTTGCATTTATTCTCGTTTGACATGTTGTCAGCAGAAAACCGCGCGTAAATTATGAATAAACCGGGTGAGATTGTGTTGCCTTAGCAGCTCATTTTATGCTTGTGGTGCTGCCTTTAATGCAATACTTGAATTGTGTTCAAATAAACTAAAGAATGGACTCAACACAAACACTCGAATGAGATTATTTTCATGAGCGCTTTTTGTTGTTTATATTCGATCGGAATGTGGACCGTTTTAATCATTATTTATTAATAAATATGTTTCCATGATTTTGCTACATTCAATATTAGTTGAATTTCATTGGATCGCTAAAGGATAGAACCGAAATTCAATACGAGTGTGTATTGTGTGGATAAGCAACAAATTTACACCAACACACAACAAATTAGCATAGGTTAATATGGACATTGGCTTTGTGCAAGCATAACATTGTGACTCTAGAACAGCGGTTATGTGTGTGCCGCTTGTCGTATCGCTCGGTTCATCACACAGACATGAACAGTGACCATTTGTTATTCGAAACGAAGTGAGATGCAAAACCAAAATACGCACACACAGTTACCGGATCAGTTTTTTTTATCGTTCATTTGATGCCATCATCAATATCGTCCACACTTCACACACTTGTATCGCTTTGTGTGTCGATGTTTCTCCTCCGTTGTGTCAACGATATTGTGTTTACCACTACACTATTTTTTGGAGCAAAAACGAATACACTGAACGCTGTGGCTTTGCGCTTCTTTTGCATGAGTGTGTCAAATCCATTCGCTACTTGTCAACGTCTCAAGTCAACATAGCAGATTTTCCAAGTTCCGTATTCAACATTCACTCTGAAAACATTAAAACCGTATTCAAAGTTTCAGTTTTTGCTTGCAAATTAAATATCAAACAATTTCCATACTTTCGATACATTCGATTTGGTATACTGTTAAAATGGCAAACGTGTTGAAAAGTAGCGCTTTGTCCGATGCGATTGCAAAGATGTATCTCAACGAACAATTGGCCAACGTTCATTTCGAATTCAAAGTCAATGACGAAATTGAAAAAGTTCCAGCGAACAAAGGTGTATTGGCTGCTCTCAGCCCGGTGTTTCATAAAATGTTCTATGGATCGCTGACAGAGAAAGGTGACGTTGCCATTACTGATGCGGATGCCGATGGATTCAAGGAATTTCTCCGGTTGTTCTATATGAGTGAGGTGACTCTTACTATGGAAAATATGGAGATCGTTGTTCGTTTGGCCGACAAATACGATGTCCTCGAACATGTCAACGCATGTGCTACAATTTTAAAAACCCAATTGACACCGGATAACATGTGCTGGAGTTATCAGTTGGCTGTGAATCTCAAAAATGAAGAAATGATCGAGTTCTGTGAGGACCAAATCGTCAAGTCGCCGAAGGAAGTTTTTGCCAGCGATTCATTTAAACGCTGCGACAAAAGTACTCTAAAGCGAATTCTGGAGCTGAGCTTGATCTGCGCAGAAGTCAACGTATTCGATGCCTGTTTGACGTGGGCCAAACATGCATGCGAAAAAAACGATTTGGATGCAGCGCAAGCAGTAAATTTACGAACTCAACTCGGCGACTGTTTGAAGTTGATTCGATTTGGTGCAATGACAAACGATGAATTTTTCAAACGTTACGTGTCGCTGAAAGAATTGTTCACATCGGAAGAGTTCGAAGATATAACACTTACATTATTGTTGAAGGAACACAAACCGAAAATTTTCAATCGAAACCCTCGATGCTACACATGGGATGCTTCAGATGTTTTACAATGTTGGCGGAAAACTAAACATGGAGGGTCGAAAAAGTACATAAAAACTTCAGAAATAACCTCTTTTTCATCGAATAACCATGTGCTGTTGGGGAAGATTCGAACTACATTTGCCAAAGGCCATTTATCTAAACTAATTGGAACAAAGATCGAAGTAACTATCACCGAGCGCAAGGACCTCGCATTTGAATCAACTGTATTGCCAAAAGTTCTTTTTGAATACACATCATTGTTTGACTCTAAGGTGGCTGAGCTGGTAGTGATCTTGCCGCAGCTGATTCTGATTAAGCCACAAAGAATGTATGAAGTTCGCTTGGAAGTTCAATCACCTGATGGATGCTGGTATTACTCAGACTGTCAGCCAATGGGTGAAATGGAAGACGGGACCAAAATTCAGTTTCATCGAAATCCAAACCTGGACTATGATAACCTATCCAATGGCTGGATTTCTTGTTTGTACTTCAACAAAGTTTTGGATTAAAAATAAGGATAAAGATTTTTTTGGAAAAAAGTTCAATCCAATGAATAAAATACCAATTTAAAAACGTATCTTCTTGATGTACTTTCTATGCTTCACTCAGAATGTAAGCCAAAGTTGGAATCTCGATATGATATGTAAAATTGTACAAATATTCTCTCTCTCAAGAAAAAATATATCTCTTGTCATTGAGCTGAGCGCGCCCGCGGAACACTTATTTCAAATCAAACGTAATTTCGATCGTTTCAAATTTCGAGCAACATTCGAATTTGTTTCATTTGCTGGCATAAGTGAGTCGGTAAAAATTTGCCGAATCCATTCGGTTTATTGCTGACAGCTCACATTTCAACCCAAAATCGATGAATTTCAATTTATTTGTTTCGGTATTTTTGCTGGAGAGAGAGAGAAAAAGGCGGTGTTTGTCTTTCTACAAAAGACTGAAAAACCGTCACAAACTCAATTCTGTAATTGGTTTCGCAGAGAAAATTGTGTGTATTTCATTTGCGGCAGTAGAAAAGAACTGATTTTGAATTGACATTTCTGGAACACTTCTTTTTCGCAATTTTCATCCTAAACTAGACAAGCGGTAGCTATTAACTGGATGTTGTCGTGTAGGTACTATCATTTCACCGATTTCTTGACATTGTCACATTTTTGTTTCACATCGATTCGTATTGGGTGGTCGGATGGCAACTGGCTACATACACATAAGCCGGTATTCAATATACATTTTTGGAATGGTTGGATTCGTGGTGGACGATTCTATGGTGGATTCAATCGAATATCAATCAAATTGCATAGGGAATTCATTCGAAATATGCGCTGATTTATGATCATCGATGACACTATTGACACTAGATTGGAAAAAAAACATACAGACACAGTGGAAATGAAACGAAAAATCGAATTGCAATATTTGATGTGTTCATTTTATTATTCACTTTTCTTTTTGTTTTATTTGCTTTTTGTCTAAATAAATTTAATTACTCATTAAAATTTAAATCAATAATCAATAATTTACCGGTAGCAATGTCTCATTATCATATTAGAATTAGTAGTTATGTTTGTTTTTGCTTGTATTTTGCTTACGCTTGCTGTTGTTGTTATTAGTTTCTTATTCTTCATTTCATACTTTATCGTTTAGGTATATTTACATCCTGAGATGACGTAGTTATCTAAGAATTTAATCATACAATTTTTCTTCCGTTTTTATTCGCATTCATATCGATTCCATAATCATCAATCATAGTTTAGCGGCAACGGACAGCCGTGCCAATGGCTTCATTTCAATTTGTTTTTTTTTTCTTCTTTCGTTTTGCAACTTTTTTCGGTTTTTATCATATCATTCTTATACAAAAATGTCAACCGAACATATGTTTGCATAGCCTTCTTGTTGTTGTATGATTTTTGTATGAACTTAGCAAATAATTTGTCACTTAAAACCTAGTTTAGTGCAGTCTAAGCATTGTAATTGTTTTTGTTTTATTAGTTTTTTCTCTTGCGATTTTGCATTTCAACGAAATGTTCAATGTTGCAAGCAGACAAATTGTTTGTTGAATATAGAGAAATTTAATGATGGAAATGAAGAAAATGTTTTGAGGTCTGCGCTCTCAGCCAAATCCACGACAAATGCAATATTATGAAATGATTTCGGAAAATTGACCAATGCAAAGGGAAAAAAAGAAGCTAAATGTAACCGATTCAACGGGAATCTCACTCGTTTCAAAATCGCTTTTCTCTACTCAAACACCATGTCTTCCAGCCCATTTGAATGTATAATAAATCTATCATTTATAGAAAATACTGGCACAATGTATTGTTATTCATATCATCATTCTGATATTTAACATTTCTCTTTCGGCTTGGTTTTCATAAAAATTTTTCTTTGTTTTGGCTATGGTGTGTTTAAGCTGACGGCAGTGCCCGAAGCTCAAAATAAATATTCACATCGAAAACAAATGAAATTTTAGTTAAAATTATAATGTATCCCAATTTGCGATTGAAATTTTTCATTCACCTCGATTGGTTTTTTTTCTCACTTATTTTTTGTTGATTTCAACGTTGAACACGTTGAATGTGAATTTCAATCGCATAAATGCCTATGGTTGGTTTGATATGAGCAAACCAAAGGTCTAATTTTTTTTTCATTTATTTGATAGCGAATTTTCAGGCACTGACTGACGGTTAGATAATTTGCTGCATTTTTGATGGTTCTTTTGATTGGTTTTTTTTTGTTCAGCAAAATTCACCCCTTTTCGCCGCATTCACGTGAAATGTGTTTATTTGTTGTTGTCGTCGTAGTAACTTTTTGTAATTTCTTAACGTTAGCATAATGTGTTTTTCAGTACTCGTATTTTAAGCATTTATGGTTATTTGGCAGTAGTTTATTGTTTTTTTTTCTCTTCCTTCTTCTTTCTTTTTATTCAATTTATTCAGCATCATATTTATTCTCTTGCAGTCATCACGCTAAACGTAATCGTCCTAATGTGAAACAAACAAAAAAAAATGAATCCAAAGAATTGCAAAATGTTTCTTTAAACGAGATCAGTCATCATTGATGGGTAAAAATAAGCAATTGCATTGAAATAAAAACAATTTGAAAAATTGAAGAAAAAAAATCGAACTCAAAAGCATTCAACTTCGGCCAGTAAAATGGGTTGCTGTGCTTAGAAAATTGTGTATGTGTGATGATTTCACGAATATGTTTTTCTTTTCTTCAAATTTTATCGATTCAAGTACAAAATGTGTTTTTTTTCTCGTTTTGTTTTAAATGCCACCGGCATTTTTTCATTGTATTTTTGATTTTTGTCAAGAAAATTCCAAGACCAAAATATTTTCCTATTAATATTTACATTGTTTTTTTTTTTTTAGCGCATCGTCTCGGAAAACAAATTCAAATAAAAAAAACATTACATAATTACATAAAATTTCGCACATTAATGAATCTCTTGCGTTGCCATCGTTTCTTGTTTCTAAATCATAAAAAATTACTAAATAAAATAAAGTCTAACTCACAATTTTCAACTGAATTTGTTTTGTGTTAACTAACAAAAATGTTTAGAATTATTAAAAAAAAAAACAGAAGATTCATCGAATTCAATCAAATTCACTGGCTGGTGCTTGTGAAAAATGATAAATAACAAAATGTCAATCGATTTCTAAATTACATGAGGCAAGTGTTTATTTGAGTAATTTGAATATATATTCTATCGTTTGCTTTCCTCTTACACACCCTCTTCCTCTCTTTCTCTCCCACTTCTCATGCGATTTATCGCAATTCATTTTCTAAATTAGTCATGTTTAATTGCAGGAACTCTCTTTATTGGTTGTTGAATGTTCAGCATTTAATTTACTTGTGTTGATGATTAAATTATTGATTAATATCCTAAGCGCACACATACACACCCCTAATTGTGTGTGTCGAGTTTGCTGCTTATCATCGAGAGAAAAAAAAATTGTTTGAGGCATTTTATATGGCTATAGTTTTGGTTATACATTTTTTTTCTGCTCTCTATTTCCATTTCGATTATCAGTATGGTTTTTTTTTATCTCTGTGTCAGTCATTATTTGATCTATTTGAATAGATACATTCAAAAAAAAAAAATCAAAATGAAACAAAACAAAAACGAATCAAAGCAATAAAAAAAAATAAAACAAATAATAAGCACACATGTGTGTGTTCAACATTGGCTCATAATGTTCAAAGTCCCTAGTCAAGAGTGAAATTCAAAATTTGCGAGAAAAAAAAAACAATGAAGCAATGAATGTTTCGTTTTTGTTGCGAAGAAATTTATCATTATTTAATTGCACACGCACACGAAATGTAATTCATCTAAATAATTCATTGCTTGCAAAATGTATTCATTCGTCTTGTTTTGTTGCTTTTGTGTTTGTTTGTTTTTTCTGTTTCTTGGGCGCAAACGAACCTTAAAAAAACAGTTCATTTGTTTTAAATATCTCTTAGTTGTAAATGCAAACTCATTGTTTCGTTTCTTTTGCCGATCTTCTCTCAAAATCCAGTTCAAGTGATCAAAAAATGCGCTGCCCCTAGGTTGGGTCCGATCGTTTTCAATTAGACAAATTGAAATCAAATTAGACAAATTGAAATCTTTGCCGCACTTGTCGAACCAATTTTTTCTTTCCCTTGTATGCAACCGTTATATTTTCGATCAATCGCGAAAAATGGGCTGGACCATCACGAGCCAAAATGAATGTGTCACGCGCCTTACTCAAAAAGTCGATGAAATCACCGTAATGCCGTGGCGAAATGTGCGATAATCTACGGGAGAGAGAGAGAGAAGATAAAACAGTTAAAATGTGATTGAACATTTTGTTTAAAATTATTATTTTTAATATCGTTGTTGAAGTAAAAATTATCCCAGTTTAGCACGCAATTTCAGCGAAATCAAGGGTCATGCTGTTTTTCTTTTAAATGGCGACAACAACAACAAACATATCGAATGAATAAAAACAAATACCTGGAATGTGTGGTATTGACATAGGCTGTGACAGCAGCTTCGAGCAGCTGACGCAACGGAGCCCGATCGTAGCTCAGTTTCTGGCATGTTCGCATATTACCTGGAAAAATTCGTACAACACAAACCGATTCAATTAAATTCCAATTTCTGCGTAAATTGTGCGCGGCACGCTGACCGTGGTAAAAATGCCTAACGAGTAATTTACCTCGATGGTGTGTGTTGTAATGTGAAAGGCCAATGGATGGTGCACAGCATCTGCGTAGAATGTCCGATAGTACCGTCGCACACTGTACATTTTTGATGACCAATGGTATCATATTCGCCAATTCAGCTTTGCCCATCGAATGAGACAGAGCGCACGCCCAATGAATATCATTGATGGCCGGATGAGTGTCTTGATTGTATGCCAAATGCACATTCTTCATCGCCAACATTGAGAGTTTATACGCGCGATCAGCATAGCCGCGATGCTCCATGTAGCGTGCGATTGTAAACAGCTGATTCGAGGTCATTATGTGCGAAGCAGCATCGATAACAATCTTTAGAAAAAAAGAACAAATCCAAGTTAGTACACACATTGATTTTCACACATTATGTATAAGTCGGTTAATTTCCTTGATTCCAATAAAATTATTCCAATGCTTCTAATGGCGTTTAGCGGATATAAACTTACCTGATAGGCCCGTTCAAAAGCGAGTCTATCATTTTCACACAATGTCAACGCATTCAATGCACAGTTTGGTGGATCCTTTGATGCACACTGCAACGCCAAATTGCGGGCACATGCAGCCAATTCATCTTGATGCTATTTGTGATGGAAGAAGGGAAATATTTTTTTGTTATTTGGCGATAAAAAGCGATTTTTTTTTAATAGAAAATTCATTTTAAACGGCAAAACAGCCCAAAATCAAGACAAAAAAAATGAAAACAACATGTAAAAATAGAAACACACTTCAGAAATAATCAATCGAGTCGGCAAAAACATTTATGGGAGAAATTATAAATTCAACGATAAATTTCATCTTATCAAACTCGTTTTCATTTAAATTTTATTTGTATCCGACTCAGAAATTGCTGAAAGCCAAAAAACCAAAACAAAGTATATTTACCATGACACTCAAATTGAGCCGAGCTGAATGTGACATAATTGTGGTTGCAACTGGACCGGTGGCTTCGGTTGGTGTGAATAATTGGAACCAATTTTGCATGATGGCCATCAATGCATCCAGACCCAATTGCGTTGCACAGGTCACAAGCCAACGAACCATCTCGCGACGACGCCAATTCAAGCATGTCAATGTCATTCGCATCACTTGCAATCCCAATTCGAATGCAACGCCCAACAGTGTGCGATTGCGATGATCACTTTCCGGTGTTGCAAAGCGGAATGCATCCTGAGCGAGCTTGAATAGGTGTGATGAACTGTGAATATTACGACGAGCACTTTCCAACACTTGAGATAAACGAGCTGGATCGCCTTTGGCAGCACTAAGCATTGTGCTGCTGAGTGAACACTGTTGAGTCTCCAAATGGCCCATAATCCACCAGCGGCTGTGAAAAGACGAAAAATTCATTTTAAAACGGGTTTAGACGATTTGTCTTCAGACAACTCAATACAGATCTCAACGAAAAAAAAAATAGATGGTCCAAATTAAAAAAAGGCCCAACTCACCTGGGGTATCTAGACAAAACGAATCCATCATGTTGATTATTGTGTGGACCGGCCAATTCCATGCTATTCTCCATTTGCATATCATTTGGACACTCTTCGAGGATTGGCAGACGCATTGCGCGCAATCCCACGAAGAATGCCAAATCATCGTAGTGTGTCAACAGTGATGCGAATAAGAAACGTGCCAATGTATGCATTGGAATTGATTCAGGATGAATGGAAACGCCCAGACCACTGGTTGGACCGCCATCCAACAATTGGCTGGTTAATTGCTTCAAAATTTCAATCAACAATCTATCTAATTCGACGTGTCTTAAGCGTTGAATTAATTGATCCTGTTGCTTGCAGATCACGTGCTGTGAGTAGAGCCCATGTGGCATGTTACGTTGTTTGGCGAGCGCCAAAGCGGCCGATTCAAAGCCAAGCGTTAAATAGGTTTCATTTAGATCGTTGCTATGTGGAACGGGCACATGTTGATATCGTGGCGGAATTAGACTACCATCTTCAGCCGCCGATGTAACGCTATCGAATGATAAACGGCCCATGTCGGGTCCGTTCATTGCATCCGGAATGATACAGGCTTCGGTTAAGCAATCAAATATGCAAGCGACTGCATCAAGTGGGAACTCAATGTCACAGCCAACGGTGCAATCAATACAGTTCGATGTGCAATTCGGTTTTTTGTTACTAGTAAATTCGCTGGGTAATTGCATGGGAGCACTTGAACTGGATGATGCTTTGGATGTGGATGCGCCAACATTGATACCATTCGATGTTGATGGGCCGGGCTGTGGATTATGACTTGATGAACTACCACCAGCAACACTATGTGATTGCTGCGATAATGAGGGTTGTACCGACGAACGGAAGCAGTTGCATGAATACTCTTCGCGTTGCTTCTGTAGGCAACGATTCATTGGATGAATATTTTCGAAGCTAATATTACGACCGAAATAAATGTTATTGGATGAACGATTCATATGACTCGCATGCGAGAACGATGATGATGGACCAACGTTCGAATGATTCGCTGAATTTGAACAATGGCACGGATGATGGCTGTAAATTAGAAATGAAAATTGATTTTAGTTGAGATTTTCATACGGAATTATTGGTTTCGGACTAAAAAAAAAACTTTCGATTCCAAAACAAACGTATTTGGTTCACACATTTTCTATGTGTTTACAATTTCGATTTACAAAAGTAAAAATTCTCCCCCCCCCCAAAAAAAACTCACCTCATGTGATGCATTTCGTTGCGGCAACATTTTGGTTTGTTGTCATTTGAAACATTGCAGCAGTAGTTTTTGACACAGCATTGGTTTTTCGAGTGTTGTGAACAGGCATGTTGTTGTGGCAACTCTCCATTGTTGATTGGAATATTTCTCGCATGATTTTCATTATGGTTACCGGGCACGGAATTCGATCCGCTTGCATTTGACGTTGAGGCAGAGCTACTGCCAGCAGCCATGCCACTTGTCGATGGTTCGTCAGCTTTTTTGTTATCGCAACTACGGCAACTACCGCTTTGACTGCTGCTTGATTCGTGTCGCATGGGCTGTCTCGGTTGCATTGGTGCGTTAATCATTTCGCGTAGTTTGAGATCGTGTGAGCATCGATTTGCCGAATTGCCGGAATTATTTTGAAAATTTCCATGCAAATGATTGTTCATACCAGCAGCACTACCACTGCCACCGCCGTGCTCCATGGAATCACGACTGCAATGTGGTCGTGAGTGATTGTACATGTTACCATGTCCATACGGTACATCATTTGCTGGCATATGATGATTTTGCTGATGCTGAGGACGGTGCATTACAATACAATTGTCTGAATGGCACTGGCCACCGCCGCCATGATTTCCATTTGGCATATGCGTTGGATAGCCATTGCCACCATATCGATAGCTATTCGAACCGAAATGATTGGAATTGAATCGTTGATCGAACATATTTCCGCCGTGCATCGGTGCGAAATTGTTGCGGAAGTATGGCGGATGCATACCATTGCCATTCATATTGAAACGATTTGCATTGTAGCTATTGTTAAATGAGTTTTGGTAACCGACACGTTCGCGTGCCTCTAAGCATCGTTTGCAACCATCATTGTTCATACCATATCGATAAGACGAGTGATAATCAAAGCGATACATTTTATATCCGCGATTTGACATTGATGATGATGATGACGACGCATATCCACCCATATTACTATTGCGTGTGCTATCATAAGAGCGTTTGCGGCTATTGCTGCTGCTACTACTATTATTACTATTATTTGGCTGGTTGCCATTTGAATTGCGGCTGGTCGATGGTTCCATTGTGTTTGTGGGATTTTTTGACGATGGTGACGATGATTTCTGGCAATTACAATAACAATTATTGCCTTTCTTCGGGATATCATCGTTGCATGGAATATTTGCAAAGGTCTGATAACGTTTCCATATCATTTGTGCATCTTTTTGCACTTGTTTCATGGTACGCACCACGCTGACCGACAACCGAAGAGCGGCTTCCGTGTGGCCATGCGATCGAAGTGAATCAACTCGTGCGGCACACATTGCCAACGGCTCATGCCACAATGGTTGACCGGCTACATTGAAATTTGCCTTTAGCGTCGTCAGAACGGTTAACGATGGTTTACTGGAACCGGCCGTTTGAACTGCGTTCGAACTGCTGATCGTATATGTGTTGCTAGCTAAAATATTTTTCAAATGTTGATTATCCCATGTCATATTGACGGCGTCCAATGCCTTGTGGAAGATTGTGCGTGGCGCTTTGTTTCGGCTCGATGCCGAGCCATTGTTCAATTTTGCTCGCTTATTGGGCCGAACATTATCGAGATCAGCGTTATTATCACGGTGTCGGACAGCAGCACGATTGTTCAATGCTTCTTGCTCCTGTTCTTGTTCTTGTTCTTGTTCTTGTTCTTGCTCTTGCTCTTGCTCTTGCTCCTGTTCCTGGTGCGCCTCCGCATTCTCTGCATCGGCATTTGCATTGAGCGCCTTGTTCTCTGGTTCGGCGTTCTCCAACACTTTCTCCTGTTCTGGCTCGGGTTTTTTGACCATCTCCGATGATGATGATGATGCAGCCGATGAGGATGATGAGGAGGATAAAGAGGATGATGTTGATGGTTCATTCTTAGCTGTACACTTTTCGCACGGACCTTTCGGCAATTCTAAACACATCTTTGACGAATGACCATTCACATGATCCAATTTCGCCTCGAAGCACGTACACTTCAATGGTGTTGGCTGTTTTACCGGTTGTTCTTCGCACTCCATGTCATTGTCATCGCTGTAATCGGCAATTTTATCATCGATATTCTTGTTAATTCCAAAACCGCCCAAATTCTTGCGATTGTTAAACTCTTCGTCATCATTTTCGGCACACATTTTCCCGCACGACGACGGTCCGCCCTTGTTGTGCGACTCACGTGATTCGTCGAGGCTCTTAAAACAAACGCCAAGATCTTCGCAACAATCGGTGCTATTGCAATTGTTACACTCAACATGTGGGCCATTTTTGATGGCGCATTTTCGACATTTGCATCCTTTCAGTTCGTCGCCTTCGCCATTTCGTAGGTAACTACAAAACTCATCATTCTCATAGAAATTAACCTCTTCATCCGAATCATTTCGTTCCTTGGCCTGTTCCATGCGTGGATTCCGTTCGACAATAATATTGCCAAGTGTTGGTTTATCATTCTCATAATCCATATCCATTGATTCGCGTGAGCTTTCGTCGTTGACAGTTGGCGGTGCAATTTCCAAATTTAAATTGCATCCCGAACTTTCACCTAAAATTGGCAACTCATAATTACCGCGGCTATTTTCATCGAATGCATCGGGTCGAGGATCGTCCGCAATATTTGCTGCATTTTCACGATTATCCATTTGATAATCGATACGTTCGAGCATAACGTTATGTGGCCGCTGTTCATCCTCTTCATTGTTATTCGGTGCGTTATTGTTCACTTGCATATCTTCATTTTCACCGTCCACTTGATTATCATCCATGTCGGCATCGGAATCCGAATCCGATTCGGAACTGTCATAGTTGTCATCGTTGTTGTTATTGTAATTGTCACGATTAGGTTGCTGTTGTTGCTGTTGATTTCGTTGGTACATCATATTTCGGATGTTATTCTCGCGGAAAAATCGATTTCGATCACGTTCACGTATCCGATGTGACCGCTCACGATACTGTGCGGAATAGAAGATTTTTGAAATTAGTTTTATTTTCATTCTCATTCATTTGTTTTTTATTGTTTGAATTTATTTGTGGAAATTTTTATTTTTTTTTTCGCTAAAGTATGATATGAAATTCTTACATTTTCCGGTCGACCGGGTGGTCGAAAGTCTGGATCTTCCTGTGGACACACTTCATTTTTCGACCATTTATCCAGCAATGCTTTCCAATGCATACGTTCGGCATTTGTGGCGCGCGGATTCAGTACAATGCACACCCACAGCATACCCAATTGATCCCATAGCTGTCGACATTTTTCATTCATCGGTGTTCCGTTGCTTTTCCACAGCACCAGCCTTGGATCATTTAAAAATTGCTCCGTGATAAGTGTTAGCATTCGTGCACCGTTTGAGTCTTGGGCACGCAACATTTCCCGTACTTTGGCAAACAATGAATTCAATTGCTTATTTCCGTTGTAATAGTTATTGCCTTGACCTAAGTAACTTCGAACCGCTTCGCATACTTGTGTCTCATCCAAATGCCATGAGTGCTCATCATTGGTGGCTGCACCGGCCGTTGGATCGGGTGCACCACAAATCGCATTTATTTCTATGGAAACGAAAATGATACGAATACGATTACGGAAAAGAAAGTCAGTCAATGTTTTTATTTTCTCCTTCGTAGAGAGAGAGAGAGAGCTCTCGAGATTAACATATTAAATATATGATACGGCGGGAGGTGCTCATAAGAGGAATGAATAAGAAATTTACCAGATTTCTGTTGTAAAATCTCATCGGCTAAATTCTGTGCAGTCGGCAATACTTCGGTATGATGCGCTGATATAAGATATTGTACGAATTTTTGCAATTGTTGTCTATTCATTTGGAGGAGGGTTTCTGCAGCCAAGAAAAAAACATCGTTCAAGAATAAATGAATAATCCAATCAAACGCAAAAAAAAGAACTTAATGGAACAACATGGCTGCCAAATCGACCAAACAACAATAACAACAAAAATAAATGACACTTTTGTTTTTGTTTCTTACCAGATATAGGAACTCGTAGTTTAACTGTTTCGGCATTGCGTATTCGATAAAGTGATAATGCGACGACATGGTGGCACCAAAAAATATCACGTGTGTCGCAACTGCATGTGACCGATGTAATTTTGCATCTGAAATTGAGACGAGAAATAGACGAAAAAAAAGACATTATTTAACTATCCATTCAATCAGAAAGCGGTTGCTTAATTGGGCGAAAATAATTGAAAAGTTTCGGAGAATTTTTCCCGGCAACAGCGACGAAGACGACAACGACGACGCTCGGTCATTTGTAACGCTTCAAGGCTTCAAGCGAAATACTCAATAATCAGTCGATATACGATATATCAATTTGATTTTAAACGATTTAACGAATGCCAAAGATGTCTGACGCTCGTAATAAATGAAAATGAACACTCATTTCAAAGGCTTCTTGTGTGTGTGTGTTTTTCTGCTGCTTTGCTTCAAATGAGTGATTAATTTAATTTATCTACATTTATCATGCAATCACACTCACAAAAAAGAGACTCGGAAATCGGCAACGCTGTACAATGTACAATACACTCACATAATCGAGGTAAATTACATTAAAATATAGATGAAACAATCTTAATTATTATTTACTAATAAAAAAAACGCATAACAATACAAGAATTGAGGAGGAAAAAAACGTCCCCTCGACAGAAGAAAAAAAAAGAGTCTAATGCGCGTATAATTAGTGAGTATATGAGTTGTAATTAGTTCGAAATACGAGTAATTAAACGTAATTTTTGCTTTCGTTTGATCCAAATAATTACTGCATGTAGGTACATTTTTAATGGGCATATTTCGGTTTGAAAGACGTGAACTAAATGCCGTGGCTTTTTTCTATCTCTGTCTATCTTGAATTAGCTCATAACATTCAATGTCTATCTACTAGTCTATATATATAACATATATATATACGATTATCTTCGATATGCTTGATTTCACAATAAATTTCGATTTAATTTTCCTGAAAGATTGAATTTTCAACCAACGAAAAAAAAACGAAGGAAAAGTAGTAAAAAAAGGAGAAAAAAATCGAGTCAAAATGTGTGTTATCAAGCATTAATTCGGCTTTGATGTTTTATTCTTTATGTGTTATATTCGATCGTTGTGATGATTTATGTACCGTTCATTTTTGTCTATTCCCGACACAGAAGAAATAAAACAAAACTCATTCAATTGCTTGAAACTTAAAAGCAAAGAAAAAAAAAACACACACACATGTTATGCATCAAAAGTTGATTTGATTTGACTGATTATTTAATTTATGAAAGTAAAGGAATGAGGGGAAAAACATGAAAACAAAAAACTAATTAATCGCATTGGAAATTATTCGTTAGTGTGAGCACACCAGGCGCATTTTCTCAATATACATTGATTATCGTTCGGTAATTATCATTCAAGGGTTCATCGAAAGCGCCGTCAAGCAATGCAATCACATTGCAAAGCGGCCAGTCGTTGTGAATGGCAATTCGAACATTTGCAATTTTGCTGTAGACTGTTGATTTATTTTTCTTTCGTTCATGTTCAAGTCAAGATGCGATTTATTTGCCATGTCAAAATCGAATATTTAAAAGAAGATCTAATAGATGTGGTGTGCACCGATGCCGGTGCCTACACACATTAGGAAACAGGTGAACAGAATAGAGAATTTTTTCCGTTTCGTTAGTTGTTCTTTTCTTCTTTTTAAATGCTAATTATATGGCTAGTGATTACAACTGTTTCTCTCTTTTTTATCTTTGTTATTTTTTTTGCTTCTTCTTTTTTTTTTGCTCACTGTTTCATTTCATTCGTTATGTTACGTATATATCGTTACGATTGAAAGTGCGCAGGAGGCGCTTACTCACCGATCAAAACTGACAGACACTTTGTAGCATTTGTTTTCTTCGGCTGGATAATTGGTACCGGCATTATTTGTGTCTCGATCAACGGATGGCAATCGTAATGTCGGTGGTTGATGAGGCGGTTGAGGTTGGACTGGTTGTTGTGGTTGAATTTGTGCTGGTTGCCCCACATTTCCGCCGGCTGCCAAACCTATCGCATCGGGAGCAATTCGATTGTGTATAGCTGCTGCTGAATGACAATACAGCGACGACGACGACGACAACAGAATGAAAAAGGAAACAAATTATTCGTTTTGAACTATAAAACCTATCATTTCTAGGAGTATATATATACGGTGTGTGTTTTCAAATTATAATATTCAATTTCAAGCCAAATGCTCACCTTTTGTTTCATAAACAATGCCACTAAGATGGAATCCTGTAGAGAAATTACAAGACAATAATGTCAAATTAGTAAAATATGCAATTTATTTCATTTGTACTGATTTCAATTTGGTGTTTTTTTCATTTTTCCATTCGAATTGAAAACAAAACGAAAACTCGATTTGCAGGTGTATGAACAAGATTTAAGGCGTTAAAAAGAATGGCATTCACAAAACAAAGCCATAAAGAGAAGCAAAATAAAAAAACAGACACACATCTCTTTTCAGTGGCGATCATAAAAAATAAAACGTTATTTTCATGTCAAATGTTCAATTGCCAACAGAGGCCCATGCAATTGAACAATTAATTCGAAATGATTATTTTGCTTATGTCAATAAATGCACAAGTTGTTTTTTTTAACGGCCAAATCGATGAAAAACCTTTTTTTTCTTTTATAAATTCTCTTCTGCTCTCTTTCCCTATCTCTCTCCGTCTCTGCGAAATCGTATATATGCGAATGCGGAATACTTGTTTTTACCGTAATACACATACGGCGGTACATTCAATAAAACAGAATATGCGAAGCTTAAATGATATTTCTGCTCCGTGTTTCTGATATGGCCTTTGTGACGCACACAATGTGTAAGTATCGGGTGCCGTTTTGTAGTCATTTTGTTTGTCTATTGAATGAATAGGTATTAATATTGAAATCGGTATGTAATTAATGCTCGTATATAACTATTGGATTAAATAGATCCGTATGGAGAGTGCGCTCGCGCGCACACGCGAATGCGTTCCATAAATGGTTTGACAATTTATTGATGTTTAATGTTGAATGTCCAGTGCGCGTACACACGGACGCAAGTGCTCGCGAAAGAGAGAGCATGATATTTATTGGAGAAGAAGAAAAAACACGAAAAGCATTAAACGCTCAAAGAAAAGTTGGTGGCTATCAAGAGAACAAACTAACAAAACGGTATAGGCAACCTGATCGATTAGATGTACAAATGCATCGGTTTTACCGTTAACATAAATAGTGAATCGATAAAGTGCTTTTTAATGATATAAGAAGAATCAAAAGAAAATTCCAATTGATCGATAAAAGATAAGCTTCAAAGACTTGTCATATATATGCTTTCGAAATACTCGAAAATGAGCATTATCTCTCTCTCTCTCTCTCTCTGTGTGTGTGTGTGTGTGTGTGTGCGAGGCTCACACCGCGCTCACACGGTGAGCTGCTTATTATTGTTTTTTTTTTGCTCAAAAAATTGAACTTGATCGGCGCATGCAATCACATCGGTGTAAAACCGGAATGTTGAACTTCGATTTGGCCAGAAATGTTGTCGGTATTTGATTATTTTGAGGCGGTGCGTTGTTTTGTTGTGTGTTATTTGTTTTCGTTTCTTTCTACGTGCGTTCATTCAACGCAGTAATCAAGTGATTTTATGGCATTTCACGAACCTAATGTTTTATTCCCATTGCGCCTTTCACCCAATTGAACGCAAGCCATTCAATTTGTACGAGTAAAAAAAAATGAATATACGACTCAAAGAAATAGGCAATGACGACGAAAAAAAACGAAAGAAAATGAAAAAAACAAATTGCATCGTTTCGTTTCAATATTTGCACGTGTTCATATCTCATGCATCGGTTTCTTTGTCGGGCCTTTTATTTACCGCGTTATAAGCTTTGCGTGTGTTTTCAATTCATTCGGTGTGTATGAATTTGTTTTTTTTTTTCGCTCGCTATCTCTCTCGCGCTTGCCTATCTCTCTTTCCCACACTCTTTCTCTCGATTCCTCGGCAGAAATGCATTTTCAACGTTTTTTTGGGTGACTGTCTCGCTTATGTATTAAATGAATGACCTTAAACAGAAATCGAAATGAATCCAAATATAAAATATGTAATGTGTTATGTACAGTGTACACAGGAAATGGAATGTATCACAATAAACCACAATGCGAGCACATTTTATACATACACTACTCACTCTTTCGTTCGTTCGTTCGTTCGTTCGTTCGTTAGCTCACACTGAATTGTGTATCAGCCAGCCAGTCAGTCAGTCAGTCAGTCAGTCAGCCAGCCGAGAGTTATATATTGTGAATGAACCGACCGAATGCATATAAATGTCGGATTCTTACATAGAGTGAGATAGATAAAGAGAGGGAGAGAGAGAGTGTGTGTGTGTTGTTGTTGTTGACTACCAAAAATCATATTCCAATCAATTGCGAAACAATGGCCATATAAAATGGCGAATTTTCATCGATTCGTCATTTTTCGATTGCATCTTGATTATTCATCGAATTTCGTCGGAATTAATATTTGTCAACTGGCAAAGAATATCACGACAAAAACCAGTGTTCTTTTCATTGCATCTTATCCCTTTATCACATTTCGGTTCCTAAAGTAACCAGACACGCCAGACGCTATAGCTATGAAATCACTGAATATTTTTACATTCTTGTTTGGAAACAAATGCTAGGGAAATCAACTAGCTTTCATTTGATACTTTACAGGCTACAATCGGCTGGCTGAATTGAAAGTTTTTTCTGTTCATGTACTGCTGTAAAAAAATGCGAAATTATAGCAGAATTCCACATTTTTCCTCCTCTTATCTTGTGGGTTTGTTCATTCTTTTTAATTGTCAAATTAGGACTCGTAGGACCAAAACACATCAATTTAACTTTCTGCATCATTAGTTTTATAAAATTTAATTTTTTCAAGCTTTTATAGTGATTTGACACTTTTGACTCTTTTCCGATTTTCACGACAAATACGCAATTTTTCAAAAATCTAAGTATGAGGTCTTTCTCTATTTATCGTGGCACAAAACATATATCAAAATGATTTAAAAACAAAAAATTGTGCATCAAAGGGTTATACAAACACATCGGGGAATTGTTTATTGTTTGTCTATTATTTTGCTGTTTGCATAATTGAATCGGTTGATTTGAATGCCATTTGATTCGCGTATATCGCGTAAGAATTATATCACACCAGCCAGCCAGCCGGAGAACAATATTGCTCTTTTAACGCGAATATCACGAAAGTAAAACAATTCGATTCTGCATTACAGAATGGAATTTATTCATGGCAAATAGTATATTACGGCATGAGAACATCGTGACTCGATTATTTTTTTTCTCTCATCTCTCTCGTTCTCTTTCTCTATCTTTCTCTCCTTGTTTGACTCGTTCTTCTCGGACAAAAAATGGTTTTATATATTTGTGTATATAAAGACGTCGTACACATTTTGTTTTATAAATAGAGAGAAAGAGAGAGAGAGAGAGAGAGAGAGAGATCTGTTTTGTATATTGTGTGGAATTACTACACGCGCTTGCAGTGAGAGAAATGCCAATGGCATTATCGGCATATAAGCGTAAGCTTGCTACTGCTGTTGCCACCGTCGCTCTGTTCTGATATGCTGTTGAGAGTGTGTTTATGTGCATAATTGTTTATGTAACATTCCTCGCATCGTCGTCGTTTCGCATCTCATAGACAACAGATTAATGTGAAATTTCATGAAATGCACCAATTGATATGTTGAATCGTCAGCTATTTTATACATAACGGTGCACCGATAAATAAAACGTTTGTATTTATTCAAGAACACTTGTACATTGTACAATGCAACAGCAACAGCAGCCACGGAAGAAAGACACATACTGGAAATCATAGCACGCATAAAAGAACAAAATAAAAAAGACAATCGTAACGATTGAATCGTTTGGAATATTTCGCAGTGTAAGCAAGAGTGAGTGAGGTTCTTATGAATCGAATTTTATTTGCGGGCAAAAATAAAAGTGTTCTTTTGGTTGAAAGATTTCGTTTAACAAGCTTAATGGATATACTTATGCACGCAATTCTTATGGATAAAAGAAAAGAAAATCCCAGATCTAAACTACAACATAAGCATTATATGAAAACTCCCAAAAAAATTCGCTCGCATATCGAAACAATAAAGAGCTTGCAGCGATTTTGGTTCTTGGTATACGAATTATTGTTGCCGGAACAACGTGGCGTGATCTTATTTCGGTTTCTGTTTATTTCCTGCGTTTGTAATCAATATATTTATAAATATATACGGTATAAAATTGGTAGTAAAAGGCGGTCGAAGCCAATGAACAGTCAATGACTCATATTTTGGATGTGCAGTGTGCACTCAGTTAGCTTTCGAGATATTTGGCCATATTATAGCGCGCACACACACACACACAGGCACACATTTTGTACGAGCAGCTGAGACTATAAGATTCCTATATTGTCGGTGTCTTCATGTATTCAAAAGCATTAGATGACCTATTTACTTGAAAATGATTGTGATGAACGAACCGAAATATATAAAGAGAGCGAGAGCAAGAGTAAAAAAACGACGACAACAACAACAACAACGACGACGGTGACGATGTCTCATGTGAAATATGTGCTTGTGCTTTCGGCACATAGGAATATAAATAAAATTCTATGTATAGAATGGCAAACAGCAACAACAATAACAACAGCAGCAGAAAACAACAAGGCCAAATCGTGTGTGTGTATATATAGAACGATATATAACCGTGATGTTATTTACCACACGGACAGATTCATTCGCTTCTGTTTCTGGTGTGTTGTACATGTGTTCCGAGAGAGTACAGTGCAGTCGACTGACTGTTTTGGTATATAATAGATTTCGCTTTCTTTTCTCTCTACACCATTTTCGGATTACATAATGCACAGTAATACCCAGCCGACGATTTCGTGAGTGTGTGTGTGTGTAAGCTATTGTACGGTTGGTATGTTGCCGATTTTCTTATGTATCCGCATTTTGTTGTTGCATCAAATGAAAATAAAAATATATAGACAGTGTCAGATTATTATTGTTGTTGTTGTTGTTGATATTATTGTTATTACTAGCATTCTAACCGACAACGGCGAGAAGATGTTGGTGTTGTTTTGTGTGTGCGAGATTACGATGTTTTGTTTTTCTTTGATTCGCACTCACAGCTACTTCACTGACCCAAGCTGCGGCCAATGAATATCGATTAGCGAATATATCTTGAATTGGCTTTCGAAA